CGTGGGAGGAGGACGGGCCTTCTGTTCCCATGAACAGTGATCACATCCCAATAGCCCCTTTCCTTCCTCCTCCTTCCTTCCCATCTAGGGTGGCCATGAGCCAGAACCAAGTGGCAGTGGATTAGTGGGCGGGAGGGGATAATAATCAAACTCTGAGATTTTCACTTCTGCAGTCTCGGAGTTGATGGGCTTCAATATGTATTAACACCAGCTGGATACATGGTCGGCAGAAATGAGGAGGAAGGAAAGGGGCTATTGTGCTATTGATTTAATGTGCATGCTCTGGAAGATGCACACACTTGGTTTCTTAATAAGTACTGAAGATGTCATCATTTCGTAGAAATCATATTAAAAAGGGTTTTGTAAACTGAAATCAATGAGTAAATTTCAGAGATAAAAGAATCTCTGGAAGAAAAATTAATTTGCCTGGAGAGAGGCTCTATAGATTTCACCGAACCCTCCAAGGGGTCTGGGACACCCCAAATATAACAAATCACGGAAGAGATGCAGCCATGAAAAGTCAAGCAGAAGAGAAATCGTTACAAATGAACAAGAGATGTTTCTAATCTGAAGGGTGCCCATGTCTGTGCTTAGAAACAGCTAAAGAATTTCCCTGGACAGCCTCTAATTTATTGCCTTTGTCGCTCCATGTCTGGATATGGATATTCTAAAAGCTGGAGTCGATCAGCACCCTTAAGAAGCCAGTGAACCCACTTATTATTTTCTCTAAGTGTTTGTTTATTCTTTATATCAAAAGGAGGATGGATGGGATTTCTGAAGTCATTTGGTTCAACACTTAGCTACAGGCAAATCCATAACTCAAATCGTCCCAGATGGGGGACTGTTTGTTGCAGGAGCTCCCCCCCTCCCTATGTAGTTTGTTGGTATGTGTCGTAGCAGGAGCTCCCGCAGTTGAAGACCTGTACTTCTGCAGAGTCTGGAAGACATTGTCAGCCTTGCAGAAACACGGAAAAGATTCTCTCTCTCTTGTCTGTGCTCCCCGGTCAAGGCTTCTTCTCTATTATACCATCAGAGCAAGGACATCACCGTGTGTGGAGAAAGACCCCGGACCTGACAGTGGTGCTGGTGGGCATGGAAGAGTCGATTAGGGAACCCGAAGTCCCACGCCAAAGGGAACTATCATCCAGAGGCAGGCGCGGGAGAGGGGGACCCAATTAGTCTTCACTTCTCTAATTTTCCTGATTACCCATCTCCTTTTACCCCCTGTGCTATACCCAGCAAGTTCCCCCTGACAGAGGCCTAATCAAGAAGAGAGAGGCTTGTTGTCATGCAATTTAAGTGACAGCGGTGCCGCACTAAGACATGTGTCTGACCAGGAGACCTCAAGCACAGGGGGGCCCCTGAGACATAACACGTGTCTGGCACAGATAACACGCTGCTCCGGATTTCCCAGCAGAGGAGGACGGAGACCAGGGATTATGGGCTGATAGTAGGGAAACTCCCCTGGCGAGAGGGCAGCTGCCCGCGGGGTGGGCACGGCAAGGGAGGCAACAGCAGTTTACGTCTGACTCTACACGTGAGTTAGCGGACCCAGACTGGCCCCTCCTTGCCTAGAATTTCTGGCCATGGGGTTCCTGAACTGGCGTGCTAATCCCTGCAAAGGAAGGTAGCGCTCTGTAACCTCTCTGGGGGCACCGGTGTAACGAGCACTGGTACACTGGTGCCTGTGGGTTTCTGCAGGGCCACCACAGGGAAGGTTTTAATCAGCGACGAGGTTTTCATTTCTTGTCTTCTAATTTTCTATAGGCTGAGGTCCAGCTCACCCTCCATCTTGACTTGAGTTTATTCATTTCAGCGACAAAATGACTACGAGGGCAGACTCCAGAGCCCACCTGCCTAGACTGAATACTCAAGAGCTAGGTGAACATAATGTGTAAATGGTGAAGGACTCGGGTTTACCAGGTGCAAAATGGGAGCACATAATCGAATGTTGAGTCTGGATGCTGCCTGCCACAGACACCGTTTGGGTGTGTTACATCAGTCTAAAGTGCTGTGTTCTGTGCATCCAGCCCAGGTCCATTGCCAATAAAAGGTTCTCATCAGGGACAACCGCAGCCGTAGAGAAATGGCGGTGCACACAGTGATGGAGCATGCCGGACAGCCCCACGTGCAGGCTAGTGGGGACCAGGGAGAGATGATATAGTGACCTGCCCTGGGCAAGGCTTAAACAGCTTGGACCTTGACCTACGGGAAAATAAAACAAGCATGCAGTGATCATAAATTAGGGGTGGTGGTGGTGGGGATTATTGGGAGTAGAGAGGCATTGTCATCGTTGTTTCGTTTTCTCTGTGTTGATCGTGTGGTGGTGGGGTGATTACCGGTTTTATTTGAGTTTTACAAGCTGCTGGATTTACTTACTGAGAAGGAACAGAAAAAGAGGGATGTTCTTCACCTGTGTCTTGTCAAGGGCTTCTCATCAGCTCTGCCACTAACTTGCACACAAGGTTAATGACGGAGGGAAGTTCACTGGGAGGGGGAAGAGGAAGAGGAGGCGGGAGGAGGTCTCTGGTGGAGGATTCATCTTTTTGAGGGCATGGTGGATGGCTAGACCTGCCTCTCAGCTGTTCCAGGGAGCGGGGTCAAGTACTGGGTAGCAACTCGGTGTCTTCAGAAAGACTTACTGCGAGTAATCTACTTCAACATTCCGTGATTTGATGGAATCTGGAACTGCTTCTGAAATCTTTTCCAATCCTGGATGCCCAAACTTATTTCTCCAAGGCCGCTTGTTACCTAGCAAGGTAGCCCCCAAACTACTCTTCTTTGAGGGTTTTGTATGGGGGGGGGGGCGTGTCCCTCTGATCCACATCATGACTCAGGGAAGTCTTTGCTGATCACTCCCTCTCACATTACCCTGCTTCACTGTCTGCACGGTAGTGTACCCTGGTGATTAAGCATGCAGTGTGGAACCAGAGTCCCCGATTTCACACTCCAGTGAGTCCCCTTTAATAGAGGATGCTGGCCATGCCAATTAATCTCTCTAGGCCTTATTTCCATTTCACAGATTTAAAAAACTATTAATAATGCCTTATCCTGACATTATTGTGAGGATTGATACATATAAACTATCGTGTTCAACATATGCTAATGCTCAGAAAGGTTAGTTGTTATTTTTGTTATCATTACTTTCTCAGGCTATCTTCTTTGTGCGCTTGTTGGTCTGGCTTGCTAGAATAAGCACCATGAAAGTAGGGACTTGTGATTGTTCGAGGCTGGGTCTCCAGTAGCTCCAGCAGGGCCCTGGCACCCAGCAGGAACGTGGCGCCTCTGTGTCGATGAGTGAATGGTGGACTGATGCGTCCTCAGTACTCAGAGTTTGGTTGGTAGGTGCGATGGAGCGGGCTCTGACTCAAAGCGATCCCATGCAGAACCGAACAAAACCCCGCCGGCTCCCGTGCCATCCTGTGCTGAGTGTGTCCAGGCGACAACGTGCCTGAGATGGCCATGTGGTTCAAACCAGCAATCACTCAAACGGACCCAAGTCCCCTGGGCTCTTCACCAGACGGAAGCTTTGATTATTTCTCCATATTCATTTGTTCTCCCTCCACACCCCACATTCCAGGTACTGGGAGTTCTACTATCATTCGTTTGAAGTGTGAAGATAGATACTGTGTTATAGGGAATACTTTTCAAAGGATAGCTTGCCTCTTTCATGTTCCTTTCCTCCTGGGATACGCCCTCTAATTACCAGTAAAACCCCCTATGAACAGTCTGCTTACACAACTCCAACGTTGCTAATTTGTACAGTTAACACGATGAACAACTGTGGTGCGTGATTCACGACTGAGTCATGTGTAGTGTTCAGGGCAGTGGGGTGGGGTGCAAGAAATCCTAAATGGTCCTAAGGACAGAGTCTGTTTGGTTCCTCAATACACCCCTTTGTGACAAGCCTCCACCGGGGAAAACGAGGCCAGGGCGGCTGCTCCCCAGCCTTTCCCTGCTAACGGTTACAGACGCTCCACCTGTACCTTTCACACTGTAGGACAGCTCAGGAAAGTCGTGCGTGGAAGGACTCGCTTCCCACCTCCTTTCTTCCTTTCGTGAAGAACTTATGTCAAAGAAGGTGCCTGACTCTGACTTTCAGACTTTGAGGCTAGCTGTTCAATTCCTGACAACACTCTGGCCGCCCTATCGCACTGCACTAACAGAGGTTCTAAACTCTGAAAGTGGGAAAGGTCAGGCTGCCAGCTACGGCAGATTCTGTTTTCCCTCCCACATCCAATAGACATTGTTTGAGAGACCGGTATGCGTGTTGTAAAATTGATAAGATTCAAGTTGCCAAAGGCATTTCATACATTTCATAGGTCTTAATTTACGTTGCCATAGTAACTGAAATGTTGGAGCTTCCCGAGATTAGAAAGCACTTATATCCTTAACCTTAAATGATAATAATGTAGATTATGATGCCAGGCTTTGCCGTTTATCTTTCAACTGAATGTTGAGTATTCTGTGTAGGCTAAGCTAGAAGGACACGGTTCATAACTTTACTATCACAGTTTAGGTTTCTTGACATCCAACCTGATTTGTCTTACATGTATGAATTTCAGCGGCAAAGAGGATATGAAAATGGGCAGTCTTCCTCTAAAGAGTAGGTGCCAACTGAAGGGGGCAGGGGCATGCTCTTCAGTAGGACTCATTTTAGGGAGTCTTCAGGCCCATCTTCATCAGAGTTGAAAGATGGGGTCATCTGTTCCCGTGAAGCTTTATAGCCCCGGAAACCCTAGATGAAGTCGCTCTGGGTTGGAATCAACTTGACAGCAGTGGGATCATCCAAGAGAACTTCTACTAAGCCCGGAAGAACTTGAAGGATCCCTTAATAAGTGTTTTAAGAAAGGACCCTAGGCTGGATCATTCAGTGACCTGTGCCAAGCAGACGTGTACTAGGCAAGTCCTTCCTGGGAGAAGGCAAGACAGGTACTGACCAACCCTGGGGGCTGTCACGTGACCCCAGGAGCCAGCCCCGTGCCAGGAGCCCAGCTTACCTTATACCCCGAGGATTTGATGTGCACGCCGCGCTTGGTCAAGGTGGATTTCATCCGGATGAAAAAGGAGCGCTCCAGGCTGTTGTCCGTGGTGAGCAGGCTGGGGCTGGTGGATTCCACTGCGGAACACAAAACACGCAACACACGTGAGTACCGTCTGCTCAGGGGCGGTCCTTGAGTTCAATAGCAATCAGTGGCCTATGGGCGCCAAGAGCAGCCATCGCTGGACTTCATTTAGGAAACATTCACTGGGCGAAAAATAAACGAGAGAAACGGGTGAATCCAGTCACCCAGTTCTAGGCCCTCGCAAGAGCTTTCCAAGCTCAGTAAGTTTCCAGCGGCTCCCTAAGTGGCCCCAGTGGCAGCCCCGCTGGAGGCTGGGCCCAGGCCACAGACGACAGGTGTGAAAAAGGAGGGCCCGGGCATCGGTGGACTCAGCTATTGGGCAGGCTGTGGGTAGGGGGGAGGATGACTTGCTCTTCGCTCTTTCTGAGGGTCCCTTTTTGAACCCCTAAACCTATTGGGAGTTCCAAGAAACCCAACATTAGCTTGACGGACCCCATCCTGGCCAGTGTGTCTCCTGCTTTCTCGCCTTGGTTTTATTCACGTGGCAGAGAAGACACTGGAGGTCTCCTCAACGGCCTCCCACAGAGGAATGCGGACGGGCTGCCGGCACCGAGGGGAGCAGACACGGACCCCCAGATCGGTTCCTGCCAGCAGCTTTCCCACGCCTGCCCAGGGAGGAGGCCGTCTCTCCTCACTCCTAGGCTTTTGAGACGAGACCATAAGCGTTCCCTCCTTTCAGCAAGATCCTCTTTTCATTGTACATAGTCTGGGCTATGTGAAATTAACTTCTTACCTAGGAAATACTACATGGTAGGTGAGCAATCTATTTTCCACCTTATTTGTAGAATCTTTTTGGTGGCGTAAAAGCATGATGATATAAATAAGATGGAATGGCGATCTGTTTTCTTTACAAGGTTTTCAGGTATTTTAATAAATGTAAATCTTCTCCTGCAGATGAATTCATTCTGGAATTTTTCAGACTAAGACACCCCTGATTTGACTCATAAAACAGTACTTTAGAGTCTTTCTGATGCTCAAGCAAGCAAGCAAGAAAAAAAAAATCCAACACGTAAGGTTTCTTTTAAGCAACTCTACCCGGGCACTAGTCTCCTGGAAAGAGCGAAGACATACCAGGGGGGCTCCAAAAAATTCATAGGAAATTCCATTATCTTTAGCTTCATTTTCCCATGAAGTTTTTGACAGCCCCTTGTACCTGTAGAGGTGAGCTTTACGAATCACACACATGTGAAACTACTTACAAACAGACAGCCAACAGACAAATGAGCTTTTAAAACTGATGGTGAAATGTGCCCCAGAGAAGATCTCCGAAGCACTGCCGGCTACCCTCTCTCAGCAGAGGGATTTCTAATACTGGGCCCAAGTCCCCACCACTGACTACTGTCCCTTCTTTATGCCTCTCGCTTAAGTTTTCTTATTCTTTCTTCTCTCTCCCTCTCTTTCTGTTTTAGAGAGCATGGATCCTATGTCATTTTAAATGTACAGCTTTTTATCACTCGAGGGAAAAGCAGAGCCATGTTATATTTAGTACTTTCATTTCTTCTGATTAAATATGAATTACTATGAAATTTTTCTCATCATCTAACACGCCATAATATGCCAACAGCTTTTTAATACACTATATAAGCACAAACTCTGCTCTAAGAGTTTAATTTGCCCCTCTAATCCAATCACATCAACCTTATTTCTCTTATCAGAGATTCCCATTTTGAATTAAATGAGCTCATTAGTTTTAATCAAAAGCAGAGAGATCAAAACTTAAACGTAAATGCTTTAGATCAGAACTGTCAGTCAGCCGTGCAGTCCTATTTTACTAAAACACAAGATCAGAGACCCTGAGAACCACTTTTTTCTCGTAAGGGATGCCAAGAGCTTGAAGATGCCGTATCCTCCTCCTTTCCCCCTCTCTCAAGGACAGATTATACATTTAAGGTTAGACTTAATTTATAGCGGCTTCTCCATCCTAGTGGAAATGGAAAAGTATGCCAATCTGCTGCCGTCCCTTGCACATTTATTGGTACCGGTCCTCAGAGACTTGAACTAACGTGAAGCTATCAGAAGCCACACCACAACCTCAGCCTTCAAAATTCAGCTCTGTTCAGCACGATCGTGTTTGCCATCGCTGAGGAAAAAGGAAATTCCCTGGGAAGTAAAATATGGTTTGAGGGCTGGGGTCTTGGCTACCCTGACCCAGGAATAAAGGGACTGCCTAGCCTGTGGAAGTGTGGGGAATTCAGGCATCAGTAGAAATTATGATTGTTTTGCGTAGATGAGGCTGTACAGGGAAACACTTACAGTGCACATTAGAGACCACAGCATGGGTGCTTCCTGCTGGGTGAAGAAATGTAAGGCACGAGCCTGCGTGTGCTGTGGAGACCAAGCGGTGCATTCTGTCTTGACGGAGGCAGTAAGTACAGCACCTCCCCATGTGTTACAGCAGTAATTGCCTGAACATACAGGGGCAGCGTTAATTAAACCCGGGACAACTGGCGGGAGAGTGTGCAGGCTGGGCTTGGCCCCATTGCAGCTGAGATTTCAAGTCTAAACTGGTCCTCCAGCTTCACGTCAAGAGCGGGGAGGGGAGGGGAGGTGGGGAGCAGGAGAAGGGGGAAAGCTAGTAGAGAGCTTTCTCTCTGATGAAGATTTTCACCTTCATCCTATGCGACTTCCTAGCTCTGAGGAATGGGGCAGAAGCAACATCCCACACTGCCCCTTGTGAAGGGCCCTGTAACAAACTCCCTTCACGGCATGCACTCTGCGACCAGGCTTCCTAGCCAATGCACTCCGTTCACCCTGCCTCTGAAAACGGTGTCCTTCTTGTAAAAAGACGTATCATCTGCATGGGACAGACGAGAGCAGCAGCTGTGTAAGGCAGCCTTTCTAGCTAGCTGAGGTAAGAAGGGCGATTTTGACGTTCCTGGTAGGAGCAGGAGCCCTGGTGGTGTAGTGGGTTGTGCTTTGGGATGCTAACTGAGAGGTCAGTAGTTTGAAACCACTGGCTGCTCTGAGGAAGGAAGATGAGGCTTTCTAGTCCCATCAAGGTGCTGACCGTCTCGGAAACGGACAGTTCTACTCTGTCCTCGAGGTGTCGGGGTGATCCCAGGGTCGTTGGTGATGTGCATCCTGACTGGGGCACAGGCCAGAGAAGAGGGGGCGGCGGTGTGTGCTAGCAAGTGCATGCATGCATACAGAGGTCACAAGTAATAAGAAAGGGATCTTAGGATTGGTGCCCTTGACTCTAACCACTGGGCTCAATGATATTTTTTTGGCTTTTTAATCATTTTATTGGAGGCTCTTACAGCTCCTATAACATTCCATACATCAGTTGCATCCAGCACATTTGTACATTATCATTTCCAAAACATTTTCTTTCTACTTGAGCCCTTGGCATCAGCTCCTCTTTATTTACCTCCCTCTCTCACCCTCGTCAATCCTTGAACAATTATATT